AGAGAGGACTGACACACAGAAAAACAGCTGCTAACAGGTGAGTCCATCACCGATGTCAATATCACAGAGAATTATGGTCATATTTAAAGTGGTAAGATGAAATTTACTTTTGTAAAATTCACTTTGTTAATTATTTTTACTTTATTGTAGCAATTGTATAATTAGGTCAAATGTGCAGGCACTATTTAAAATACACATATTTACAAATTACTTATATATTTAGAAAAGTCAGGCATTTAAAATCTATTTCCTTAATGTCTCCTTGAGGTATGTTGTTTACTAGCTGAGATTCTTCGTCAAGTCTATAGTAAGCAGCTATTATCTGTCTTTGTTACTTTTCAATCTTTTTTTTTACCTATTTTTTTTACTGTTTAACTTTGAATTAGATACACCATACAGTGAAATACATGTAATATAGAAAGTTTAAGTAACTAAATCCGATATGCACATTTGAGTGCAAACCTGAGAAAGAGCATTTGAAGGCTCCAAGCACCCCTCTATGATCACGTGCCCCCTCTTCTTCCTAGAAGTCTTTAGTGTAGAATTGTTCTTTTCACTCCCTTCTTTTTAAATTTCAATCTGTGAGGGTGTATCTCCCATTGCTTCATGTGTCTTAACTTCTACACAAAACCCAATGGAGGTTCCTTTCTCAGACTCCTGATACTTGTCCATGACGCTGAGTAGCTGTGGTCCACTGATGTGCACTAGACAGAACCTACTATTTAAAGACATTACAAAGCAACCCATTTTTCATGTTTTCTTTCTGATAATTCTGTCTTCCCACTTTCATGAATTATGATAAAATATAAGAAAGTTTTATAAATTTGTTGAAACATTAGGAAAGAGCTAAAGAACCATTTTCTGGAGCTGCCGATGCTTTCAAGTTTTTCTGTAACATCTGCTCGGGCAGTTCCAGGGTCTTATAGTTTAGAGGTGCACACACTTCTGAAACGGGACGCAAAGGTTGTTCGTAGTTTGAGTAGAGTCATTTAAAAGCAGACATGACAAAGGCAAGTAGCTAAGTCAATGGTTGATACATGGAAAATATAATTTTTTCAGCCCTCATATTTATTTATTTACATGTATTCAAAAATTCTCACCATGCTTTGAGAAAATAAAAACAATTTATCTGAGGTGATGAAAGAAAGGCCAGTAGGAGCTGCTTAAATAAAAAGTTCTATTCTTACATCAGGAGACTGGCTAGCTGGGTGTGATGGTATACAGCTACAAACACAGCACTACAGGCGGAGGTAGCCTGGGCTACATTTAAGTTCCTGGTGAAATTGTGTCTTAAAAACCACCACTAACAACAAAAAGGAGGGACTGACTTTGAAATGCACATTTATATTTCTTAAAATAAAAATACTTATAATTGTGTTATGACTCATCATTATAATTTTTTTTTTTTGGGTCTATTTAGGTCTATCTAGATCAGCAATTTGGGTCATGACCCCTTTGGGGTCACATATCAGATATCCTGCATATCAGATATTTACATTAAGATTCCTAACAGTAGCCAAATTACAGTTATGAAGTAGCAACAAATTAATCTTATGGTTGGGATTCCCACAACATGAGGGGTTGTATGAAGGGTCTCGTACTACAAAGGAACCACTGATCCAGCCCAACAATTACGCTCAATTCAGCCAAGAGGAAGTTTACTAACTCTCATCTACTTGTGTTTCACAAATGATCCTTGGAGTTTACAAAGAAACAATCTTAATGAGATGAAACTTAAGACAGGTAAGGAAAAGACCAATCAGGATACAAAAGAAAGGTGTGTCTCAACGTGAGACGACGACGTCACCTCTGCAGAGGGTAAATTTGTCTCTAAGTTCCCTAGCGATCATTCTGACAACACAAACAGGAATGGCAGTCAAAACATTCTGGAGCTTAAATTCAATCTGGAAACAACATAAACAACCTGATCTTTGGAAAACAGTATAGCTATCCATATCACAAAGATCAAGACAAAAATTCTCCAGTACACAATCAGATGTCATTTGTAAGTAAAAAACTAGAACATTAAAAAGTCCCCCACGGGGCTGTATTTTGAGTTAATAAATAATATGAAATAAATATGTACATATAAATATAAATGAATACCTTATGTTTATTGTGGATATATTTTAAGTGACATCAAGCAAATATGTAATTTAGTAAGAACAATTCATCTAATCCTATGATCCAGTTATCAAAGAATTATACATTAACATAGGTTAGGACTTTAAAGTAATTCAAAACTTTAATTATTAAATGTTTTGGGAGTAACATGTCACTCTGAAAGTCTTATGAGAATCAGGGTCACTCAGTAATTTATAGACATTTTATAAAGTCTACCCAGCAGTGACTTGATATAGACACCTCGATTAGTTGGTCCATAGATAACTCATGAACTAGCATGGCCACTCAGGGAGGTCCTTCAGACAGCTTTCAAACCACACTTTCTGAGCTAGCAAATGCTTAAGTGCATTCAAGACTACTTCTCTTGCCCATTTTCTGGAGTGAAGATACGTCTTCGTTACTTTTCTATTGCTGTGAAGAGACACTATGACCAAGGTAATATAAAGACAGTTTATTGGGTGCTTGCGTACAGTTTTGGAAGGTTAAAGTTCATGACCATCATAGCAAGGTACACAGCAGTAGGCAGGCAGGCATGGTGCTGGATCAGTAGTAGCTAAGAGCTTATATCTGATCCATAAGCAGGAGGCAGAGAAAACGCTAACTGGGCTTTTAAAACCTCAAAGCCTACCCCCCAGTGACACCTCCTCCAACAAGGCCACACCTCCTCACCCTTCCCAAACAGTTCTACCAACAAGGGATCAGGCACTCAAGTGTAAGCCTATGGAGCCATTCTCATTCAAACCACCACAAGATGTTTTCAGAACTAAGTTATATGTAGAACTATGAGTTGAACTAAAGCAGGACTTGAAAACAAGGGTTGATAAAAATGCATGTCTCAAATGGCATTATCACTTGACTCAGAACCTAACAGAATATCTGTCAAGTTACAATTTTTCTTACAGCGCAAAAATGGGCGTATTCTTAATACCAAGATAAACAACCAGCAACACGACACTACAAAGTACAACTGAAAAGCTTTTAGGATAAAACTTAAAATATTGCTTGGCCATTATGTAAATCTAACTTAGTAAAGTACACTGTAATTTTAAGTACACTGTAATTTTAAGCAATGCAAATTCTGATAGACATGATGTAAGTTGAACATTTCTGTATCTACATCCTTTCCAAAGACAGCCTTGTGGTGGCAAAGTATACATCCCTGTTTTCTGACTTAGAACTCACTTGTGTGCCTTGTGTTTCTGATTTACTTTTAGATGCCCTGGAGCTAGAGTTATAGGTGGTTGTGAACTACTCAACTTGAGTGCTGAAAACCAAACACAGGTCCGCCAGAAAAGCGCAAGCACTCTTAATGTATGCCAAGCCTCAATTCCCACGCTTTGTTCTAGTAACAGTAGGCAAGTAGATAGAATATGAGCACAGTCTTACAATATGTATGATGTAGCTAGAACTCACTTGTGTGCCTTGTGTTTCTGATTTACTTTTAGATGCCCTGGAGCTAGAGTTATAGGTGGTTGTGAACTACTCAACTTGAGTGCTGAAAACCAAACACAGGTCCGCCAGAAAAGCGCAAGCACTCTTAATGTATGCCAAGCCTCAATTCCCACGCTTTGTTCTAGTAACAGTAGGCAAGTAGATAGAATATGAGCACAGTCTTACAATATGTATGATGTAGCTTATCCTCTTGGGTTTTTTCCCCTCTGTCAAAAAAAAAAAAAAAACCCAAACATGCTACATAGACCACACAAACCAGATATAGACTCAAGACACAGCCTGAGACAAGTTCAAGTCGGCTCAGGCTAAGTTAACTCAAATAAGGGATTAGATGTGATGAGTCTACCTAACATAGCATCATTGTGATAATTACTAATTGATACAGAAGACATAAAAAGTGGCAAATACAAACACCAGTAACTAAATCACTAAATCTTATATATAAATAGAGTTTTACCTTTCTTGAGAGACGGTACTAGCATAGCAAAGCAAGAATTCTCTGCACAAAGCCATTCAAATAAGAGAGTAAGATCACATGAACCATTTGGTTTCAAATTCTAGTTGCGATGTATTCCACTTTCTCTATGTCTGATATTAGACATGTAGGTAACAGCCATCTCGTCACTGCTGAGGGCCAATGACAAGAACACTGGTGCTTCTTCTAGTATATTGACATGTCTCATTTATGATCAGCATCTGTCTAACTCATTAGGGCAATATTTTTAATCACTCAAAAGATGCTATCCTATTTCAGTATTCAGGAATTTTTTTTAAAATGAAAAGGATAAGTCAGCTTCCTCTTTGATATCTCAGTTTCTTTTTTAACTGGAGTAAGCAAAGATATTATTAAGTGATAATCCCTTATTTGGAGAATCTTTGTAGTTTCTGAAACTAGAATCCTATCAATTTAAGAATATTTAGAACTACATCAGTTGGAAGATGGCAGATTAAATACAATTCTTTAAATCAGAACTTAGTGCGCACTGAGCCTGACCCCAGAGTAAGCCAGCTTACCATCTACTCTTATCTTTTTTTGTAAAGTATAATGTAAGGTTATATAAAACAGGTATTCTATTTGTGTATCTTATGGCTGCCTCAGCTTTACATAATCAGCAAGCTCCAAGCTATAAGTACAAATATCTAAAACAAGCTACATAATTAATCTAAACATTTCAAGAATATTTTTAATTAAAAAAATTAGATTTTTTTTTCCAAGACAGGGTTTCTCTGTGTAGCCCTGGCTATCCTAGAACTGGCTCTGTAGCCCAGGCTGGCCTTGAACTCATGAGATCGCCTGCCTCTGCCTCCCGAATGCTGGGGTTAAAGGTGTGTGCCACCACTGCCTAGCAGAAAAGAATTTTGTAAAGACCAGATCTTATTTTTAATAGCAGAATTTGCTGGCATCGGCTGCTGAGCTCTCGTACCTGAGGTTCCAACCACGACGTCCCAAGGGGAGCTGATGGGCTGCTTCTCCCCTCTTTGTCCCCCCTCTGTATCTGTCCCTTGAACGCCAACGCCAGCTATGGTGCTCACCGTCTCGGCTTCTAGGTCAATCTATAAGAAATTCAGTAAGCTTTTATTCAATGCATGTTACTTTTATTTTCAATATGTGAAGAATTCTAATAGAACATACAGACTATCTGAAACACAATGTTTTAGAGGGGTAATTATAGCGGACTTGTCACTTAAACGTACACAGTTAGTCCCTCTCATTTCCTAGTAATAGAAGGGAATGAATTACCAACATACACCTCATGGATGAACCTTAAAACATCAAGCAAGACTGAAGAAGAAACCATCTATTGCTGGATTCTATTTGTGTGAAAGGTTCAGTAAGGGCCTATCAACAGACAGAAAGTTGATTGCCTCGAGCTGGGAATGGTGATTATCTTTGTGTGACAATTCTTAATTGGGAGCTGAAATATTCTAAAAGCAATTTAAAGTTATGATTGCAAAACCTGTTAAACTGATTAAAAACTTGTGAGTTCTATACTCACACGGGTGACTTTTCTGATAGCGTCACAATAGTCATCAAGATAATCATGTGCATAGGTCACTGATGTTTTTCAGGGTCACATGCAGATAAGCATATCAAAACTGTTATCTATGGTTTGCTCATGTCTGGGAATGGCAAGGGAAGGGCAGAAAGGGGACATAAGCTATATATTGGCCAGCAGTGGTGTCACACAGCTTTAATCCCAGTACTCGGGAGGCAGAGGCAGGTGGATCTCTGTGAGTTCCAGGCCAGCCTGGTCTACAGGCTGATTTCCAGGACAGCCAAGGCTACATAGAGAAACTTTGTCTCAAAAACCAAACCAAAACAACCCTATAAGTTAATAAGAATTATTCTAGACAAAAGAAGGGTAACATAATGATGTTTGTGTGTGTGAATGTAAGAGGATAATGAGCTCAGACATCTGTAAACAAGGTCTTCAAGTAAAATACAGTAACTATTTCTGTGAAAAAAGAAAGGAAGAGACAATTCCGTTTCTTGTCTTCACAGACACTGAGTCATGTCACACAGAATGAACACTGACGTTAGGAAATCCAGTATTTCTGTGATTCCACTACTTCAATAAACAGGTATTTGGAATGAAGCACCTTGTCCAATACTGGAAGATCACAGGAGTGAAGTAGGAGAATGGGGCACACGTGATAAAGGGCAAGTATTTCTGATGTTGCAGACTAGTTAGTTGTCTATTACCCCAGAGAACAATCAGACATCCAGGACAGAACTATAGAAGTAACTCCCCAAGAAGATTATTCACAAGAATGCACTTTTAAGAGCTCGGTAATTAAAACCACATCATTTTCTGTAACCTATACACAATGATATTAATGAAATTAATGAAGAAGTACAATGATCAAGTACTTCTTGATCAAATAAATATTCCTCCTAACTATCCTCAATACTATATTAGCGTATTCAAATGTCTAGGAAGTTTTCAAGACTAAAAAAAAAAAACACATATCCACTATAGTTCTTTAAATCAGAATATATATTTATAAAATATATAAAAATGCTTCATTAAATATATATATATATATAATACATACACACACATACATAATTTGTTAATAAACTTAACAAATATCTACTGAACATTTTAACAGGCCAAGTCCTACTCAGCAGCAAAGAAAATACATTGCTTATATCGAGCTATACATCACAGCAGACATCATCACAGTCTAGATGTGTATGTGCTATTATATGTGTATTAGGTGACAGCCCTGCCGACTGAATGAGGATAAATGTCAGTGTTGAATGAAAGTGATTCATCACAAGCACTGTGTTTACCTAACAAGACAGATCACAGGTACTCTGATTAGTTATTTTCCAAATTTACAGCAGACTATAGAGAGCCAAAACCACTATTGGTAGGAAATGTTTAAAATAACTGGGTTTATCTATAATGGAAACTGACAGTCATATTATTTCTGTGACTAATACAGAATAAATAAAACCTGCAAAAATTCTCTAGAAATAGTCTTTGAAGTCCAAATTTGAATAAGAGTATACTGATAGAGAATTTTTGGAAACCATAATATACTTTTTCCTTTCCCTCCTCCCATCCTCCTTCTTTCTTAATACAGGGTCTCATGTAGCCCAGCCTGGCCTCCAACTTGTAACATAACCAAGGATGACCCTGGACTCCTGATAAACATCAGGGTTTCTTGACTAGAACTATTAAAATTGTAACTTAAAATGGAAAATTACCTTTCTTATAAGGTGGTTTTCAGTGTCGGCCACATAGATAGCATTATTCACGATAGCTACACCCTGTGGAGAATTAAAAGATGACTCTGAAAACATTCCATCTTTTCTTCCAGGATTAGGTCCTAAAAGACAAGACATTTTTTTTCACATTACTTCTAAGTAATATCCTCCAAATACATAATTTAAAAACTTGCCTTTACTGCTGGAATTTTTAAAAACAAATAACACAGCATTTCAGTATTTCTATCTAAAAATGAAAATGTGGGGCTGGAGAGATGGCTCAGCAGTTAAGAGTGCTAGCTGCTCTTCTAGAGGACTGGATTCAACCCCAGCACCCACATGGCAGCAGCTCACAACTAGCTGTAACACTAGTCCTGGGTATATGATGCCCTCCTCTGGCACAGATAGTGCACAGACATACGTGCAGGCAAAACATCATACACTAAATTAAAATTTGAAAATGAAGATGTTTGCTATTTTCCTCTATTTCTCTGTGTCTATGCTGGGTAGCATACAGCAGAAGAAAATAGTTTTAAAAGCATTTTAAATACCTGCTACCTAGACTAGAAAGTTAAAAATAACTTTAACCTTTCAGCAGCTAGAGGAGGATTAAAAAATATTTATTTTATATATGTGTGTGTGTGTGTGTGTGTTTGTGTGTTTGCCTGCATGTATGTATAAGCACCATGTGTGTGCCTGGTACCCACATGGAGGTCAGAAGAGTTCAGATCTCCTGGAACTGCAGTTACAGATGGTTGTGAATTGCCATGTGGGTGCTGGGAGTGGAACCCAGGCCTTCCGCAAGAACAAGTGCTATTAACCATTGGGCCATCTCTCTAGCCCCCAAAGGGATGACTTTTTAAAAAACAATTTGGACAATAGACTCCTGTGATAATAAATGAAACTATATCTACACTCCTTTCCTAGAAATACTCCCATGCTGGAAACTGCTGGAAACAGCAGTCCACCGTGGGAGCCTCCCTGTCTTCCTGAGGAGTCCAGAAGCCCAGGGGGACACTCCTCCCTACCCCTGCTTCATGGTCCTGAAGTCATGTAACACTCTCAAGTTCTGGAACACCACAGCTCCAAGGAGGGGCAGTGTGACAGGAGAACACACAACTTCCCCAAGGCTCTAGGTCAGGGTCACACACTGCTTTGCAGACTTCCACTGCCATACACAGCTGGCAGAGAGCTAGTATACTTGGTGGCTAGGAAACGCAACAAGTCCCATTAACTCCCGGTGCTCACTTTCTTGAGCTGGTGGTCTGCGTACGAGCTTTCTGTCTTAGTTTTACTTCTGTGAAAGAGAACTAATAACACCCAGATTCATGGCACTCAGGAGAGAAAACAAGGAAATGTAGGCAGTGTGCTCAGAATGAAGCCAGGCACGTGGCTTGCCACCATTACTATTAATACAACTATTATTGCTGACTTAAAGAGTTTTACAGAAAAAAAACAAGGCATGGGGGAAGAGCTCTCTGGTCACCTCCGATCTGAAGTACCGAGCACTGCAACCATCTGAAGATCCATGAGACACTGCCAGAGCAAAGTGCCCGAGAACCTGACAATACCGCCACTGACAGAATGTGTTAGTCACATGAAATCAGTAGCTCTTGATAACATGTGACCAAAGAGTTCATTTTAAAAACTTAGCTAGGAGCCGGGTGGCGGTAGCACTAGCCTTTAATCCCAGCACTTAGAAGGCAGAGGCAGGTGGATCTCTGTGAGTTCGAGGCCAGCCTGGTCTACAGAGCAAGATCCAGGACAGGCACCAAAACTACACAGAGAAACCCTGTCTCAAAAAACAAAAACAAACAAAAACTTAGCTGGGGCTGGCCAGTTGGCTTCACAACTCAAAGAGCTTTCTCTCAAGCCAGACAACCTGAGTCTGACCCTTTGACCCAAACTGTGGAAAGAGAGAACCGATACCTATGAGCTGTCCCGTGACCTCTATGGCGGGACACAAGCACCCTTCTACTCCAAAACACAAAATAAATATATAAATGTAAGAAATAATATTAGGTGGGTGTGACAGCTTATGCTTGTAAATCTTAGCACTCTGGAGGCAGGAGGACTGCTGTGAATTCAAGGTGAGTCTGGGACACAGTCTAGAGACAGAGACCATGTCTAAAAACCACCTAGTTAAAGAGTATGTCAAGACACGGCAGCAGTCTTTGAGGCACACTTGAGAATACCATTTGCTGATGTTTTCTGTTAACAAAAAACATTGTTGGGCTGGGTGTGGTGGCACATGTCTTTACTCTTGGCTTAAGAGGCAGAGGCAGGTGGATCTCTGTGAGTTCCAGAGCAGACTGAGCTACATAGAGTTCCAGGCCAACCAGAGCTGCAGAGTGAGACCCTGTGTTAAGAAAGAAGAGCACTTACCTATACCATTTTGAATGTTATATTAAAGTCTGGGTGGGAAGATGGCTCAGTTGGTAATGTGCCTGTTGTACAACCATGAGGATCTGAGCTTGGATTGCCAACGTACACAAAAAGCTGCCCATGGCAGTACATGCCCTTAATTCCAGAAGGTGGATCCATGTGAGTTGAGGCCAATCTGGTCTACAAAAAGAGTTCCAGGCCACCTAGGACTTCACAGTTAGGCCCTGTCTTGAAACAACAACAACAACAGCAGCAGCAGCAGCAGCAGCACCGAGTGGTAGGACTAGAAGCCAAAGTAAGCACACCTCTGGAGTTCAGGTCAGCAAGCCTGCCAAGCACATGCGCTGCAGGTTCACTGGGAGACCCTGCTTCAAAAGGTAAGGTGGGGAGCAATCAAGGAAGACACACAGCATCAACCTCTGGCCTCTGTGCACATGTGTCAGCAAACAGACTCACATGAGCATGCACATATACCACACACACCAAGACCCACAAAGACCAGTAAAATTCAAGACATTTTTCAAGTAACAATTCTCGTAACTGCCTGTTACAAGTGAAAATACCAAGTAGCACAAACAAAAACAGCCCAACAAAACAACACATACTCTAATAAAATAACAAGCAATGACACAGAGATGAGAATATCTCGGCACACTACAACGAGCCACGGCTGAGGAACACAGCTGATCTGCTTCCTATGCTAGGAATGGGATTGGCTGTGGGGACACGACTCCTTTCCCTCTGACTAATTTGTTGTGGCAGTCCAGCCCAGATAAGCGGGTTAGTCTGAATGTACTTAGGAGAGTTCACTAATCTCACGGATGGCAAGCAGAGGCCTGTTCTCATCTAAGGCAGGGAGGTATGGAACAAGATGGCCTGTGCTCTCCTGGAAAGGGCAGGGATCCAGATGTTCTTAAGGACGAAACAAGAGAAAAGTAAAATTATGTACAAACCCTAGCCTGGTTATTTTATAATCTAAATACCAAGTTTCTTGGTCACTGTCCTGAGTTCTTGTCTTGAAAACTATATGGACATATTTTGTTAGAAAAGAAAACATGAAACTTCCATTTAAAATGTCACTGACCTAAAATTTTGGCATATTTCCACGAACAAATAAATGTGACATTTTTATTAAAAAAAACAGGATGGAAAACACAAATATACCTAAAAACTATATAACTTAATGATTTCCTCCTTTTGACATGCAGCTTCTGGGTTTTGTTTGTTCTGAAAAGGAAAGGGAGGTTAACTCAGATACCACAGACTAAATAACAAAATAACTCAGTGATAAAGTCACAAGCCAATTCAAGCTGCTTTTGTGTATTTACTTGAACTATTTTTAAACTGAAAAATATACTACACACCATGTTAGAAGCAAACCTTACCTCCAATGCTGTACTGAATCTGTCCACTTTTCTGAATGACCAGGACTCTATGGTGCCCAGTGTCTGACACCACCAGTCGGCCGGTAGTTCGGTCTGCTGCTACTTTGCCAGGGAACAGCAATGGTGAAGGTGGCAGAGACTCTTTGAAGAGTTTTATTCCAATTTTTCCATCTCTGATCTGTCCCCTGTCTTTGTAATACTTTAAAGTGATAGAAGTATATGAAAATAGTTTATCTTTGTGTCCCTCTCCAATCAAAGAAAACAGCATGTTTCCACGAGGTCCCAGTATGACCAGTGTTGGCCAGCAGGAGACTTCAAGCTCCTGCCAGAGGCTGGCATCTGCGTCGTTAACCACAGGGTGGGTGATGTCGTATCGAAGGATAGCACTCTTGATATTGTCCAGGACCTTTTCATTTGGAAACTTAGCTGAGTGAACACCGACAATCAGAAGACCATCTGAAAAGGGAACGTGTATGTTAGACATTATGAAATCTTAAAAACATCACCCACACATTAGTCTGGTCATTAATATAAATAATCCAGATTAAAAAAGAACTACAAAGTGCATTTAATTATATTTAAACACGTGTATACAAAATTAATAAATCTAAATCTCAGAAACCTTGATTTCTACATACAAACACATCAGATCAGACCCACATTCAGCATTAGAACTCTGCTTTTCACGTAAAGCTACTAAAGTCAGCCACAGGGCAGCACAGCACAGCAGATCAGGAGTCCAGGGTTACTGGCCAGAAGCTCTGCTGTCAGCTGAAGCCCATGGGCAGTTAACACTCCAACTGAAACCCACTGCACTCTGGGCAGAGCACCAGCGAAGCTGCAGGGTGTGGGGAACTGAACGTTCACCTCGCACTTCCTCACTAAACGACACACACAGGAAGACCGGTAAAGCACACCAAATGCTGAGCACTGGGAACTGAACTCCTGCCTGGACAGGAAAGGCAGCAAAGGAAGAGCAGAGAGGCTGGGGGGCACTCAGTGGTTAGGAGCTTGCTTCTTTCACAGAGACATAGTCTGTTGCCTGGCACTCAGACAGTGGTTCCCAACCATCTGTAAGTCTGGGTTCAAAGTGTTCAGCACTCTTCTTTGGCCTTGCAAGTACTGCATGCATGTGGTGCACAAACATATACAAAGGCAAAATACTCAAATGCACAAAATAAAAATAAATATCTTTTTAAAAAGATGAGAACTTATTATCAAAAGTAACTGGGCTGAATGTCTACTAAACAAAGCTAAAAATATCTGTCAGGACTTCAACAGGATCCAAGGTCTACATATCACAAAATTCCAATGTCTCGGGTACAGCCCCAAACTACTGCTTCACAAAGAATGGTAAGCTAGTTCCTTGTCATCCAGAGCTACAGTGAGATCCTGCCTCAAGCAAACACCATAAAGAAGGACAGTGATTTATCATCAAAAGAAATAAAAAACAAACGAGATACTGATGCCAAAATAGAATGATTTGAGTTAGCAGAGACTACAGTCAGCTATGAAATTGTATTCCACGAGGTAAAAGAAAAACTCAAATGAAATGAATGAACAGATAGGAAACATAAACAGAGAGATAAGGCTGTAGAAGAAAAACTAAATAAAAATGTTAGAGCTGAAAGCCGGAGGCCGTGGTGCAGACCTTTAATCCCAGCTCTAGACAGACAGAAGCAGGAGGATCTCCGTGAGTTCAAGACCAGCCTGATCTACAGCGAGATCCCGGACCACCAAGAGTACTCAAAGAAACCCTATCTTGAAAAACAAAACAAAAACAAGTAAGAGTTGAAAATACCGACTTGAAACAAACAAACTGAATGAACTCAGGGGCAAACAGATGCAAAGTTAAGACCAGGAGACTACAGGCAGTTAGGAAAGGAAAGGAAAGAGGGGTAAAGACCACTTCTTCAGGCGACTTGGGATCTGCTCAGAAAACCTAAGGAGTTGCAAGAATCCAAAGGGAAAAGAGAAGAAACTGGACAAAACAAATATCTGAGTAATGCCTAATCTTCAACTCCAAGCAGAAGTACACAGAATTCAAGGTCAGCACACCACCTCAGACCCAATCGGAAGAAAACATGTCTAGGTAGATCATAACCCAACGCTGAGAACCAGTGACCAAACACCCAAAAGACATCTTGTATCAGCTTTAAAAAAAAACCGGGAGTGGGGGGGGGACGGGACGGTTGCCCGGGAACTGGACAGGGGTGGGAGTGGGGAGGGGCAAAGTGGGGAGGACTTGATACTTTGGCCAAATTACTTACCCTTTATTGTTTTCCTAGGTTAAGTGAATTAAGAGATAATCTGTGTAGGGAATTCAACACAGTACTCAGTATACAGTGAAATCTCACCTAATTTAACCACTCTTTTTTTTAAATTAAAAAGATTAACTTCTTTAAATTTCAAAAGAAATCAGCAAAACTGAACTGCAAAGAAAATCCATCATGCTGAGAACCAAAGGAAATTAGAAACCTAATACACACACACCATCCATATACTCACAAGAACAAATGTGCACGCGTGCATGGGGTCATCTAGTTACAAGAGAAGGTTGGACTATATCCTGTATGTGAGACACAGGGCCTGCAGCCCCACCCTGGCTTCTCTACCCAATGTGTGATAAAGGGCACCTGCTGGTTACTCACTACATAAATCAGAACCTATGAGGTTCTAGTGTGTCCTCCTTCCCTCTGTCTTTCAGGACCCACAGCTCCATCTGCCACTGAGATACCAGACAGAAGCAACAGCCCCCTGGAGCCTGGTCAGCCAGCTCTGCAATTATGGAGGTCAGCTCCAACAGAAAATCCTCCTCCTCTGGTACCTCCAGTGGTTCTGGTTTGTCAGAACAAACCATGCCATCACACAAACCTCTACCTACACTGTTGGTCTGTTCAGCTCTGCATCTTCATGTATGACATCTTCATCCAACCACGGCCATTTTCCTCCTCACCCAGAATTGGACGAAAGCAATGGTACATGTGTACCTATCCTCCGAATCCTGAACTTCCCCAGTTTATTACAGCCCTGACGCTGGAAAGGCAAATGGATACAATATCCTTGGTTTGTACTCCTTAAGAGTGTTGGAATGTCGCTCTACGGTGGCCTGGCTTTGCAATGGGGACAATTCCAACCAGTTTAATGCACATGGTTTTGTCTGGAGCTCTTAAGATTTGTATTTGTGTGTGTGTGTGTGTGTGTGTGTGTGTGTGTGTGTGTGTTGTGTGTCTGTAAAGTTTAAGTTTCATTAAGCTGTTCCTAGAGCTCTTAAGATTTGTGTGTGTGTGTGTGTGTGTGTGTGTGTGGTGTGTGTGTCTGTAAAGTTTAAGTTTCATTAAGCTGTTCCTAGCACTTTTCTGGGTTAATATACCCTGGCACCCGATAGGCCCTTTTAAGATGAAGAGTCAAGATTCTTTTTTTCCTTTCATATTCAATTTCCTTCTGTTCTAGTTCCAGGTATTAGTTGGGGTGGCTGTTTTGATTTTCTTGAGGTTCTCCAGCAGTCTTCTGCTGCACCTTCTCAGCTCGTCTCCTTGCTCCCTCGCTTGCTGCCCACACTGTTTTACCCGCGGTTAGCTGACTCTCCCCCCCAGAGCCCCACCTCTGCTTCCCTTCACTGTCACCAACCCCATGACCGTATGAACGTATCCTCCCTCGGACAGCTTGGAGTTCAGATTTCATTTCTAATATAATCTTGAATTTTTTGTTTCCTGAATTCAATCAATACCCATTTCTTCTTTTTCTTTCCTGTTTTTAATGTTTCTGATCCAGGCTGGTTTCCAGTCGTCTTGAATGCTGTGTGAAGGAAGATATTACTCCAGGAGGCAGCATTGCAGCTGTCAGGGGTGTGACTTGAGAATTTCCACACATCCTCTTTACTGTCCTTTGACATGGATGGGATTACCTTTATCTTTTTTGTGAACAAGGTTCCCTGCTTGAGAGCGCCCTCTTCTGACAGCTGTTTCCTGTGCAGTTTCATTTATGGACATCCCTTGCGGAGGAAGTCCCGGAAGTCCCGGGCCTAACTCTCCCTTTTGTGCCCTTCTTTCCTTTCGGAACCATCCAAGGGAGCCGCACCCTGCAGGGACGCTCATGCTAAAGCAATACTTCTCCAGGATCTCCGCTCTCATCCTTCCTGAACACTAAGAGCTGTCACAAACTAGGATATCCACATCTGGGTTAACTATTTCGCACTTTGTATTGGGGGTATTTCTTACTAGGGACAGAGGGGCTACTCTGTTTGTGTTTTGTCTGAGTCTTCAGAACTGTTCCACTTTCTTCTTTCAAAACTGTTGCATTTTTTTCTTTAACTTTTTTATTTAAAACATTTTCATACAATGTATTTTTATTGTTTGTCCCTTTCCCCAACTACCTGCTTCCCTACCCATCCAACTTCATGTTCTTTCTCAAAAAACAGACAAAAAACCCCACCCCAAAACAACAAACAAAACAAAATGAATATAAAAAACCCCAGAAAACCAATAAGGCAAAACAAGCAAGCAAACAAAGCAAAACGCCCACAAACAAACAAACAAACCCACAGTTTGTTTTGTGTTCACCAAGTACTTCTACTTTTTCTTCTGGTGCTTGTTAAGTCTCCTCTGTCCCTGTCCTTAGCTTGCATTGGCAACACCTTGAATTAGAATTTAGCTTATTTCTTAATGCACATGTAATGTGAAGGCCATGATATTCTCGTCTAGTAGTATTATGAAATGCAGGGTCAAATACAGCTGTATTTGCTCTCCTTGTTATTTTTATGTTGGGGGAGGTAAAGTAGAAAGATTTAACAATTAGGTGTATTAGCTACCTTTCTCATTGCTTTAACAAAATACTCAACAAGGAAAAACTCGAAAGGAGGGTCTATTCTGATTCACAGTTTGAGGGTACAGTCTGTCACAGCAGCAAAGTCGGGTGGCAGGAGTTGAGGCATCTACAGTCAGGAAGCAAAGAGCATTGAATACCAGCAGTACTCTGCAAGCTTTCTCCTTTTTATTCAGTCCAGGAACCCCGCAATGTAGCTAGAGTTTTCCTGCCTGGCCCACAGTCAGGACAAATCTCTCTTACCTGCCAGTCCCACAGCCCCTCAGACCCGACCAAGTAAATACAGAGACTTATATTGGTTACAAACTGTATGGCCATGGCAGGCTTCTTGCTAACTGTTCTTACAGCTTAAATTAATCCATTTCTATAAATCTATACCTTGCCACGTGGCTTGTGGCTTACCGGCATCTTCACATGCTGTTTGTCATCATGGCGGCTGGCAGTGTCTCTCTCACTCAGCCTTCCATTTCCCAGCTTTATTCTCCTCCTTGTCCCGCCTACACTTCCTGCCTAGCCAATGGCCAATCAGTGTTTTATTTATTGACTAATCAGCAACACATTTGCCATACAGAACATCCCACAGCACCGCAACATGGGTGCTGCCCCTCAGAGTTGAGGTGGGTTTTCACACT